GGTGCGACTGTAGAGGGGTACAGGAAGGAGAGAGTGTGCGCTATACGATGGTTGCTAATTATTTTTTGAACTCACAAAAAAAAAACATTGACTGGCAAAACAGCTTTCGACTCTTGTTTTTAAAAAAATACTTCAAATAAATATTCGTGGAAACATTTCGCGATGGTGTATTCATTGTTCAACTACTGGACTATTGAGGGTGTTTTAATATTCCACTTGTACTGGGAAACATGTGCTGCATAGTCAAGTACTAAAGCTCTACCACACGAATTTCTGCTGAAGAAAATCATGCAACTTTAAGTGTAAAGGTTCATGTATCAAACACTGGGTAATACTAATTACTGGGCCATATTAAGTACTAGTACTGGCCATGTTAACTACTGGGCCATATCAAATACTAGTACTGGCCATGTTAATTACTGGGCCATATCAAGTACTAGTACTAACAATGTTAATTACTAGGCCATATCAAGTACTAGTACTGGCCATTGGCCATATTATGAATTCCATCTAAGAAAATACTAACTAAATAGATTGCTTTTAGATTAAAAAAAAAACAACAACAGCCTTTGTTAATTATCTAACACGCAGTTAAACTCTATCTGACATATACTTGAATGCATCGTATAATTTGCAATGGATACTGGATCGCGAATCAAGTAACCATATCCCAACAACACAAATACCAGACATTACCCCTTACCCTTTCAATGCCTGTTGAATACTGTCCTTAAGCTCCAATCAAACCCTAAAAGTTAACTTTCAATCTACAATCTACACACAACATTAAACTTGTTTCAAACTCTAACCTTACACCTAACCTTAATCCTAATCTCAACGCTCACGCCGACGTTGTTTGAATAAAATGATACAGCATTGCTAAAAAAAAAATAATGATAGGCATCGCGTTGATAATAAAGAAATAATTGTTAGAAATGTGTGACGTCACCAAATCTTCAAGATGGCGGGCAGATCCTCAGCTGAGGGGGAGGCAATCGCATTTCCGGCGTCAGTCTCGACATGAGTAAGGTCATTATCACTCTCAGAGTCACCGGCCGAACCTACGCCATCACATAATCGGCCCAGGTCGCCGCCTCTGAAAGTCACCCCCCTCCCTCCCCCACTTCATCAAAACCTTGTGATCCTTCTCTCCCCCTCACCTGCGCATCGAATCCCCAAAAAACAGGGGCGATAATTTCTCGCCTTGTTCTGCTTCCATTGTCAACTTTCCACGCCTTATCGTCCTTGCATGTTGGTCGGCGGTTCTTACCCCCCGACACCTTGACAGTACCTGGCGAGGAAAGCCTCGCTCAGCCTCGGTTTCACATCATCACGACATCGCCCGGCTCAAAGGCCAACAGAAACAAAAAAAAACTGAACTAGATTAGCCGTAACTTGGCCATCTTCACTCGGCCATCTCCATTTGGCCTTTGAGTGACGGGAATAAATGGCCTCCCAAAGAAGGGGCCCCAACAATTTATCTTAACTAATGTAAAAAGGGGGAGGGGGTGGGGGTAGGCCGAGCCACGACACGCCCCAACCCAAGGCAAACGTTAATGACTCTCTTAGAGGATTCTAGTTCCTAGTCGGATCAGTGTAGTGGTAGCGGTACTTTTCCATTAGCCGTAGCATATAGCCAGCCTAGCACATCACCAGCGGTAGTATTAGCCGTGTAATCCAGTATTGGCTTTGTTACATTTTAATTAAAGATCACATAAATTGCTATTGCTCTTTAAATTCAACCCATTGATCTTAGTTCTAAGGGAATGCACCTTATTATTAATGGGGCGGGGGTGGAGTGGATGGGGGGGGGGGGCATGTAAGATACACACAAAACACATCAGACTAATTCTGAATTTTGTGATGGTGTGTGGTGTAAATGGCGGAGGGGGGGGGGGGGGAGAAAACGTATTTCTAAAAAAAATGTTGCTGAAAATTGTATATGATTTTAAATGAACTGCAGCTTTTAGCGTAGTAGTTACACACAGTGAAAATGGAAACAAATATACCAAATAGTTAATTTTGTTGCGTTAAATCCCATGGTTGTTTTATACATATAATATTATATATATATATATATATATATATATATATATATATATATATATATATATATATATATATATATATATATATATATATATATATCATACGACCCTAAGTCAAACTAGAACATTTTAATCGAGTGCAAAAGACTTATGTTATACTTTGTGTTCTGTAATTTCCCCCTCACCGCCAACAGCGTTTAACTAATAGAATCTGTACGTTAATATTGGAAACAGCGGGTGATGGTGTAGGTGTGTGGGTGTGTGTGGGAGTAGTATTGATAGGGAAGGGGGGGGGGGATTTTTCATTCAGCTGACTTCATTTTAAATCTCGCTACACTTCCTAGACCTTCGATTTGGAAACAACACCAAATGTGTCACGACAATTACGTGGCACTTGGAATTAGTGACATAATAATTTTGTGTGAACAAAACCACAAGATGTAGAATAAAAACACAAAAACAAAACGACTTGTTGACTTAAAGGCTTCGTTACATTCATGGTATAATGTCAGGAATCCTTGTTGATGATTTGAACTTTTTTAAACACTTTTTCCATTTTTTTTTTCAAAAAATATTTATTTAGATCAAAGTGTTAAGTTTTATACCTTGTTTTTTGGTCTATAATTTGATTTTGTCAAGTTTAATTTGACTAATAAAGCAAATTACATATACATGCATCAACCTAAACACTCAGATACTCACCCTAATATTATCTATTATCAGTGGCGTCGCTAGGTCAAGTGTCACCCGGTGCGGCACTTCAAGGATGTCACCTCCCCTACACACAACAAAGAAAAAAGTGTATATATATATATATATATATATATATATATATATATATATATATATATATATATATATATATATATATATATATATATATATATATATATATATATATGGGGGTGGGTTGGTATATGCGTGTGTGAGTGTGTATACTTTGTAGAGTTGGTCAATGTGTAGTCATATGACTTTTAAACAAATTATTTTTAAACTGAACAGCCCAAACAAATTGTCTTCTATATATTTTTCAATTGTTGGTCTTGGTGTCATCCCCCTAAATGGGAACCCTTCTTTATACCCCTGTCAATTGCCTGCACAGTTTGATATTGGGTACCTCCATTTTCCTTGTTAGTAACACGCACACAATTTGAAAGCGGCACGGGTGGACTAGCCCGACGGTCTCGAGGGTAAAATCCCCGTGGGCCCCCAGGTAATAGAGTCAATTGGGACTCTAGGTAAGAGAGTCAAGTGGGCCCCGGGTAAGAGAGTCAAGTGGGACCCTAGGTAAGAGAGTCAAGTGGGCCCCGGGTAAGAGAGTCCAGAGGGCCCCCAGGTAAGAGAGTCAAGTGGGACCCTAGGTAAGAGAGTCAAGTGGGCCCCGGGTAAGAGAGTCAAGTGGGACCCTAGGTAAGAGAGTCAAGTGGGCCCCGGGTAAGAGAGTCCAGAGGGCCCCCAGGTAAGAGAGTCCAGAGGGCCCCCAGGTAAGAGAGTCAAGTGGGACCCTAGGTAAGAGAGTCAAGTGGGCACCGGGTAAGAGAGTCCAGAGGGCCCCCAGGTAAGAGAGTCCAGAGGGCCCCCAGGTAAGAGAGTCCAGAGGGCCCCCAGGTAAGAGAGTCCAGTGGGCCCCGAAAAACGGTGCTGTGCTAAGCCTGTTAGTATTGTATTTTTAAAAAAATAATTTCTCACATTTATTTTCATCAAGCTGAGTATGATCATCAGGCTATAATGGAAGAAAATGCACAATGAAAATTTTAATCTGGGGTTGGGAGGTCCCTTTTAAAATTTCCCGGGGTCTCTTGGTCACAACCTGGATAGTGGGTACCTGCACCCTCCTCCCATATCAGTTGCACACAGTCTGAGAGTGGGTACCTCCGCCCCCACCCCCCCATGTCAGTCACCCACACAATTGGAGAGTGGGTACACACCACCATCCACACAGTAACATAGTGGGTACCCACCCACACCCACACAGTAACATAGTGGGTACCCACCCACACCCACACAGTAACATAGTGGGTACCCACCCCCACGTCAGTCTGAGAGTGGGTACCCACCCCCACCCCCTGTCAGTCACCCACACAGTCACCTAGTGGGTACCCACCCCCACCCACACAGTCACCTAGTGGGTACCCACCCCCACCCACACAGTCACCTAGTTGGTACCCACCCCCACCCCCTGACGCCCCCTGTCAGTCACCTAGTGGGTACCCACCCCCACCCCCTGTCAGTCACCCACACAGTCACCTAGTGGGTACCCACCCCCACCCCCTGACGCCCCCTGTCAGTCACCTAGTGGGTACCCACCCCCACCCCCTGTCAGTCACCCACAAATTCACCTAGTGGGTACCCACCCCCACCACCCTGTCAGTCACCCACACAGTCACCTAGTGGGTACCCACCCCCACCCACACAGTCACCTAGAGGGTACCCACCCCCACCCCCTGACGCCCCCTGTCAGTCACCTAGTGGGTACCCACCCCCACCCCCTGTCAGTCACCCACAAATTCACCTAGAGGGTACCCACCCCCACCCCCCTGTCAGTCACCCACACACTCTGTTGCTGGCTGGCGCCGACTCTATCACCGCCGCCATGGCCTGGTGCGGCCCTCAATGGCTCTTTTGTGCGACTCGTGGCGACACGCACCGCGACATCGGGGGCGGGGCCTCATCGATCGCCGCTAACCAAAGTCAGCGATCAGTCGCGCTAGGCCCCGCCCCTTCTCTACAGCCCCCATGTCGCGGCTCAAAACAACGACAGTCACGTGGGCAAGAAACGGGGCATCTGATTGGCTGCGGGCGTTCTATTTTGGGAGAGTGATGTGGAAATGGACAATTTCGTGCAGGGGTTCGCGAGTAAAGACAGAGCCGGCTCATGAGCCAACTTTCGGCCTGGCCCCCTCTAGTGGTTGACCGTCACGTCGCTCTGGTTGCTATGGTGTGACGACTTCCTACCGTACAAAACCTATCTGGGACGCTGCGACTCAACATTAACGGGCTGCTACCTACAAGGTGAACCGACCAGGTGAAACTCGGGACTTGGGTCACATCTTCTGCTCAGAAAACACATTTCTACTCCCTGGACGTCCGCAGTGGTTGGGATTTTCACATTGTTAGCGGCGTGTCTATGTTTCTACTGCGACTGTTCACACGTCTGTGTTTGCAAAAATTAAAATAATTTTTTTTTTTTAAATATTCACAACCCGATGACAGTGAAGGAGAAGGTACGCTTAGCGTTAAGCTTATCGCTGAATCAAATTTCACATTCTGTTCTACGGTCGTGTCGGAGCTAGGCATGTTGTGATTGTACTGATTGTACTGAACTGGAGGAAAATGATCATGGGTTCGTACCCCGCTGGAAAAACTGCATAGCCGTGTACATAAATATATTTATAGCCCCGTTCTCACTCTTCATTTGAGGTTTGCGAAGACAGGCTAAGATTAGGGATACATCAACGCTTCTCCGCAGACGGCTGGAATATACAAACCCAGGACACAAACTTGGCTGGAATATACAAACCCAGGACACAAACTTAGCTGGAATATACAAACACCAAAGCCGGCAATGATGTCTGTGGTTGAAGGACATATGGCCGCCTATTCCCAAGGCCCATTAAGGTAAGTCAAAAATGTTATCTTAATACTAAATGTTTATTCCTTGCAGTGGCGTAGGCAGGGGGGGTTAGGGGGGGTCATAACCTCCCCCATAGACCCCTCGGTATATATAAAAAGTATGAGGGGGGGTGCAAATCGAAAGTTTGAGGGGGGGGGGTGCAAATCGAAAGTTTGAGGGGGGGGTGCAAATCGAAAGTTTGAGGGGGGGGTGCAAATCGAAAGTTTGAGGGGGGGGTGCAAATCGAAAGTTTGAGGGGGGGTGCAAATCGAAAGTTTGAGGGGGGGGGGTGCAAATCGAAAGTTTGAGGGGGGGGTGCAAATCGAAAGTTTGAGGGGGGGGTGCAAATCGAAAGTTTGTCCCCGGGTAAAAATTGGAACCCCCCCCTTGAGACGATCCTGGCTACGCCACTGATTCCTTGTTTCATTCTATTCTTATACCGGTTTATCTTCTTCTTTGTTTTATTCTATTCTTTTAAAAATCGTCCGAAATATCAATTGTTATTTCCTTTGTTATTGAAAGATTAAATGTGAAAAATTTGAAACGTGAACTAAATTTACAGATTTATCTTTTCAATTTATTTATTTTTGTTTGTTAAATAATTGCTCGCGCACATATTAATTTAGTACATTTTTGTTAATTTACTAAGGAAATAAATACAAAAATGCAAACGTACCAACACAAATATGCTCACAGAAATATAGCTAAAGTAATCAGCTAAAATATGTCAACAAAAACATATAAGAACAAATCATTCCTGATAACAGTAAAAAAAAATTATAAACAAATTATCATCAAATATGTGTAAGTGATTTTCTTTTTAAATTTACTCAATTTTACCAACTTAACAACAGATACCAAAATACACCGACAATACACATAGAGATAAAAATAAACAAACAAATTGTAAAAAAAAAAGATGTATTACACGTTGTATTTTAAAATAACCAACTATAGCCTATAAATCAACAAAAACAAACCAACAAAATGATATCACATTGATAATTTACCGACAAAAATAATCAACAAAAAAAAAACCCCAACAAAAACCTAAAAAAAATATACCAGCAAAAATATACAAATAAAAATATAACAACAAAAATATACCAATAAAATACAATTTTAAAAAATAACAACTAATTATACTAATAAAATGCAACAATAAAATATAACAATAAAATATAACAACAAAAATATACAACCAAAGATTCCAACAAAATACAGTAACAGAAATATGTAAACTACAGACATTAGTTTCCTACTGAACAAAACGGAAAAAAAAATTTTCATCAATCTAGAAAACGCGAGAAATTTTAACATATTAAATTTGTAATTAAATCTTAAGCAAAAATGATTTGATATAATACTAAATTAGTAATTTTAACAGTATTTTTATTAAATACCATTTGGATATTCATTAATAAGAAACAGTGTTTCTAAATTCGTATGCAGTATGTTCAAAATGATTTATCTATATTTCTGACAGCAACTTATTAAATTTAGTGCTTCAATGTGTGTTGTCAATTTATTTTGTTCAAAGGATTTTCGCTTAAAAGGTCAAATAGGGAAAAATAAGTTAGCACAAATTTTGTTAGTTCAATGTGCGACGTTTTTATATTATTTTTTTTACAAATATAGCAGGTTTAGCTTGTGTAGATTGTGTGGATAATTATCATTTCTCTCATTGTAATATACAAGTTTCAAGTTTATTATTATTAGCTATAATAAACAGTTTACATTTTGGTAGTTAGCTTATTCAAAAAGCTATGTATGTATATATGTATATATGTATATATGTATATATGTATATATGTATATATGTATATATGTATATATATATATATATATATATATATATATATATATATATATATATATATATATATATATATATATATATATATATATATATATATATATATATATATATATATATATATATATATATATATATATATATATATATATATATATATATATATATATATATATATATATAACTATTTTTTTAATGCAAAGACCTGACGGGCTATAAGGCAGCCACAGTAGTTTTCTCTTTCTCTGACAAGAACAAAAATAAAAAATTAAAATAAGTTTGAAAATCTTAAAAATGTGAATTTCTGAGCTTTGAAATCAAACGTAAAATCGATGAAAATCAGATTTTTAAAAGAACGAACTTGTGTGTGTCAAATGTAAGGACAATAGATCTTTGGCCTTCTGTTCTTCCAGGTCCTATCCTACCAATAAAACATGAAAAGATTCTTAACTTTCTGCCCAAGTCAATTTTTATTTAGCCGTCCATTTCAATCTACCCATCAACTCAATCCAGCTGTTTTTATACTCTAGCCGTCTTTTAAATCAAGCCGTCTATTTTAATATAGCCGCCTATTTTAATATAGCCGTCTATTTTCATAGTCTGTTATAGTGCTCTTTGAGTTTTAGAATTTCGAATGCAAATTATGGAGGATCAGAGTTTTCATGAAATCAATTAGTGTTTGCTTTTTTCTTTAAACAAAATGGATTTTTAATTGAAGAATTAAACTGTGAACATTCTTAGAAGAGAATGTTAACTTAAAAAGCTGTGTAATATATAGGTTCTTACAAGAGACATGTACAATTAAACTGTGTACAGATATACATTCTTACTAGACAAACGCTATAACATAAAATTTCAACCTCACCGGCATTAACCACACACAAAAAAACACCTACCCCATACAACAACAAACACCTACCCACACAACAAACATCAACCCACACAAGAAACACCTACCCACACAACAAGAAACACCAACCCCACACAACAAGAAACACCTACCCCACACAACAAGAAACACCTACCCACACAACAAACATCAACCCACACAAGAAACACCTACCCCACACAACATGAGCATTAAAACACCGACCCCACATAGTCAGACATTGAAAAAAGAACCGTTATAGTTATGTGGAAAATATAAGCGTTATCTAAACTGACATGGACGGAGAGAACACTATCGACCTACAGATATTGTACACAAATACTATAAATATTTTTGGCCTACAGATATTGTACACAAATATTACAAATATTCTTGGCCTACAGATATTGTACACAAATGGTACAAATATTCTTGGCCTATACAGAAATTGTGCACAAATACTACAAATATTCTTGGCCTACAGATATTGTACACAAATGCTACAAATATTCTTGGCCTACAGATATTGTACACAAATGCTACAAATATTCTTGGCCTACAGAAATTGTGCACAAATACTACAAATATTCTTGGCCTACAGATATTGTACACAAATGCTACAAATATTCTTGGCCTAAAGAAATTGTGCACAAATACTACAAATATTCTTGGCCTACAGATATTGTACACAAATGCTACAAATATTCTTGGCCTACAGATATTGTACACAAATGCTACAAATATTCTTGGCCTACAGAAATTGTACACAAATGCTACAAATATTCTTGGCCTACAGAAATTGTACACAAATACTACAAATATTCTTGGCCTACAGAAATTGTACACAAATGCTACAAATATTCTTGGCCTACAGAAATTGTACACAAATGCTACAAATATTCTTGGCCTACAGAAATTGTACACAAATGCTACACATATTCTTGGCCTACAGAAACTGTACACAAATGCTACAAATATTCTTGACCTACAGAAATTGTACATGTTACTTAAACTGAGATGAAGAAATTATTGTTGCCTACACAAATTGTACCTGAAACTTCTCGCGTATTTTTACCTCTTATAAGAAAAAAGCAAGCAAAATATAAATGAGATAAATATTTATGTTATAAATATATTGTCATTTTCTCATATTTTCTGATCAACACATTTAATCACTATCTCATCTTGTCAACATCTCATCTTATCATCATCTCATCTTGTCATCATCTCATCTTGCCAATATATCATCTTGTCGTCTCTTCTTGTCATCTCCTCGTCATTTCGTTAGTCTGTGTAGTTTGTTTTTGGTTGGACAAAGGCCATGGAAGTAAATCCAAAAAGAAAAGCAGGCTGAAATCGGAGTCAACGGCCTCAATGGCGCATAACCAGTTGACACGTATACTAAATTGTGTTAAAGGGAATCACTTCCAACACTAAAAATTAAGAACGAAGAAGAAGTTAGTCTGATTTCATGTCATCGTCTTGTAGCGATGTCTGTTGGTGTTGAGTGGCGTTGAGTGATGAGTGGAATCAAATATCACTGCTTGGTGTCGTAGTTTAGTAATGGAACAGTTTATTATTTACTATTGATGGCAACTTAAAAATGTGTTACACGTGTCCCCACACAAAAAACAAACAGCTACCAGAGTACGATTAAAAATAATTATCCTTGTGCAAACTACAACTCAGTTGATAACCCTAACTCTAGCCCTAATTCTAACCCTAACTCTAGCCCTAACTCTAACCCTAGCTCTAACCCTAGCTCTAACCCTAACTCTAACCATAACTCTAGCCCTAATGCTAACACTAGCTCTAACACTAACTCTAACCCTAACTCTAGCCCTAATGCTAACCTAACTGAAACCCTAACTCTAGGCCTAATTCTAACCTAACTCTAACCCTAACTCTAGACCTAGTTCTAACATTAACCCTAACTCTAACACTAACCCTAACTTTAACCCTAACTCTAGCCCTAACTTTAACCCTAACCAAAACTGTCACCCGATAATCTGGCTCACGGCTTGAACCAGCTGGGCTCCAAACTTTGGTGGATACCCGTTAGGACAGATTTACCGTGGCTCCAAACAATTCATACCACAGTCGTGACCACAGAAACAGATGAACTCTACTCCACCTATTACCATTGACCCCATTTCTGTTATGGAACTTGATATTCACATTTATTACAATTTGTAATGTCAGTTCATAGTCGCAGTTAGAACCCGACTATCAATCTGAATAAAAAGTTAACAATATGACCCGGTATTCTTTAACAGCTCCCAATCAGTAACGAGCTTTACACATTGATTAGAAGAATTGTA